ACGAACGATGTTGCATCACGAGCTGAAGAGCTCCACCGCCATACCCGCCCTCCTCTCCAGAGTTCCTCACATGGAAGAAGAAAAAGAATGATGGGAGCATAGTGGCATAGAACGGTACACGAAGAAACAAAAAGGTGGGGAGGAGAGTTTCAGGTGTGGAAGAAGACTGAGGAGCAAAGACATAAAAGAAATGAAAGAAAACAAAAGAAGAGGGGACAGGTAGAAGACAAACAGGGGCCGGGTAGAAGAGATGGTCTTAAAAAGGAAACAGGAGGAGAGAAAAGGGAAAGGAAAAGAAAAGGAAAAAATAAATAAAAATAACACATCAATCATCACGTCAGCAATATTACTTGATAACCGGACTCTCACCTGTTAATTTATGAATTTGAGTGTGTTTGTAAAGTTGGTGGGTTTAATTGGGTGTTTCTTTAGTTCGAGTGTTCGATTGACTTTTTGATATACTATGAGGACTTATTTGAAAGTTTTCCCCATTTTATTAAATCATAGATGTGTGATATCCTTACTACTACAAACCTGCAAGGCAACCTATATGTTTATAATTCAAATTTTAGGCAACACTAGTCACTGAATATTAAAAATAAGTATTTTCCAAAGACAATAAGCATTATAAATACTACACATGTACTCGTCAACGTTGCAATGATTCAACAAACACCATATCTATATAATATAGTAAAGCGAACGCTTGAAGAATTCTATGAAGGAATTGATGACATGTGGCAACATCCTTTACAAGAAAAGTTGACATGTAGGAACACCATACTAAAGTCATCTTCTTAAATACATTGTTTACAATATGTTTGCAACATAGACACATTATAGTTATAGGTGAAAAACTATTCAACTTCCAAAACTCCACGCGCACGTCTTCTACTGCCATACCATGTTCGTTGTTTTAAAAAACACGTCTATTCTACCATGTTCGTTGTTTTCTCTTCATTATCTACATTTTCTTTTTCTTCTTGTGCTAATACTTTAAGACATGTTGATATAGAATGAAAACAATGTCTTCATTAATAATGTACTTCATCTGTTCCTAAATTAAAGCCTCGCTTTCTTTTTAGGGATGTCCCTAAATTAAAGTCTTACTTCCTTAACTTCCTTATTTGGTAAACAAATCTATATCAAACAATGTCAAAAAGTGCAAAACAGTGTCAAACAGTGTCGATGCAGTGTGAAGTCGCATTCATTTCCTTAATATGTGTGAAGTCAATCTAGAACATTGATTTAGGGACGGAGATAGTATTAATTAGAATTCTATATCTGCTAGGATCTCTGGTCTAGTTTGGACCACTAAATTATACTCCCTCAGTCCCGCTAAGATTGTCCCACTTTATCTAAATAATTCTTACTTTATTCTTATATATCAATTCAATATCAACCACATAAACCACTTTTTATTGGTTTGCGTGCAACTCTCTCTTCGGTTATTGGCACATTTTTTTTTCTGAATCACGTCTTCTTTGTCCGCTTCGGCCGCCGTATGTTCTACGGCTGCTCCAGCCATAGCTCCTACGCCGATCACCACAACATCACTGACGGCACCTGCACATCTCCCTGGACCGTCGTTCTTCCTATAGCCGATGAGCTTCGTATCAGCCTCCCTCTTTTCGTCCGTCGATCAAGTAGCCTTGGTCCCGCCGGTGTTCACATGGACTCCCACCGCTCCCACTCTTCGTCTGCCGCCATCAACAATGTCGATTGACAATCTATAGCACTCTTCGTTGTAGCATCCAAGGTCGGCATTTATGTCGATTACTCTGAGTCCTTGAATGTGTCGGGGAATTCTTCTGTCTAGGATGTTGCCGGACCTACACTTTATGGGTTGCCTGGTCCCTACCCGCTTGTTTTCGGTGGGCCCCTTGGACATAACTCAACCGTGTTATCTCAATTCATGTCTTCTCTGGATGCGTTATCTCAAACTATGACCTTCTCAGCCCCAAACATCACCAACATAGTGACTACTAAATTAAGTGCAGTGGAGGATTATTTATCCTGAAGAACACAATTTGAATCATTTTTAGTCTCTCATAATTTACTTGGCATCTTGGATGGTACAATTTATGCACCTATTTTGTATGTTTTAGATATAAATCGTCTTCATGTTGTTAATCCTGAATATTATCATTGGCTAAAATTGGATCAAATTGTTCATTCTCGAGCTTTTGCAACACTTTCTCATGATGTTTTAATTCAGGTTCATGAGATTTAAAAAATAGTGCCATATGGGTGCGTCTAGAGCCACGCTTTATGTCTGCCACTTGGCTCGCTCTATGACATTAAAGCGCCTCCTTTGTCATGTCAAAAAGCAGGATGATCAATCTATGGACCACTACTTACGTACGGGAGATTAAAATTATTGTTAACGCCCTTGCTGTCATTAATTCTCCCATATCACTTCATGATCTTCTCCAGTACACCATTCTAGGTTTAGGTCGTGAATATAAATGTCTCATCACCACACGTACACTTTTCCCGGAAGGTATTACTTTTGATAATCTTCGGACCAAGCTTGTTTACAATGAGCACCACATTCTTCCTCTTCGGGATCAGGATCTTGCTATCAATACCTGCGACGTTTAGCACACAACAGTCTTCTTCTTCCCATCCGTCGTAGCAGTATCCTTCATGTGGTGGCTCACCTGCGAATAATCGCGATCAAGGTGGTCACTGCGGTGGTCGTGGCCGACACGGGTTAGTTGAACTTTGACCATGGGCAGCAGGCATATAGACAATCGAGCTTCAGACAAGCGCAACAGGGGTATGGGCAGTAGTTCAGGTTTGGGTCGTACAAACACATGCAGTAGGGCTCGCGGCCATCCGATACATCTTTTATTAATCCGGGCATGGTTTTAAGTAATTCATTTTAATCATCGTTTTATATTTTTGCTTTATCTGCTTCCACTATTCATAATTTTTCTACAAGCTCATCATCTATTGATGGAATTTTAGGTTCTGGTCCCTCTCGTGTAGTGTATAAAATTTGTCATTCTTCAGGTCATTCTGCTGTTGCATGTCCTTCTCGTTTTGTCCAATCTTCTGCCACTGCCTTAGCTATTCCCCAACATAAGTCCTATGTCGATGTTTGGTATCCAGACGTGGGTGCCTCTGCTCATATGACTCATCATGATTGTATTTTATTTAATAAATCCTATTCTGGCTCACATAGTGTTACTGCAACTAATGGTACTACACTTTTGTGGTTAATGTTGGAGATGTGACCTTTTCCTCCTCTCCTCGTTCTCTTCATTTAAGATTTGTCTATCATGTTCCCACCTCAAATATATTTTATTATCTTTTCAAAATTATGTGTCGATAATAATTATTCTGTTATTTTTGACAAAAAATGCATTTTTAAAGGACAACATCACGAGGAGGTGCTTCTTCAAGCTTCCAGTAATGGTGGTGTTTACCCGGTCACAATATCTTTTCCTTCGGTTGCCTTAAGTGCACGAGTCGCTACTGGTCCGGTCTCGCATCGTCATATGGGTAATTGCCGGTACTATTATGATTGTATTTCATAATAGTACACAACCATTGTTATTAATCCATTCATATGTTTGGCAATCTCTAATTTTCTCTCATTTTTCTCGTTTTATTTGGTTATATCATATGCATCGTAAAAGTGATATTTTACCCATTTTACTCATTTTAAACTACTGGTGGGAAATTTATTTACTACTAAAATTTAAAAAATCAATGACGTTTTCTTTCGAAAATCATGTCCTAAAACTCCGGACAAAATGGCGTTTTTGATATAAAATATTGTTGATGTGATCTAAATATATTCCGATTTTAGTCTAATACTCTAATCTAATCCGGTATAATGATATTAATGACCGGGTTTGGATTTTTAAGCTATTATCTAACTTTCTTATCTATAATAAATCTATTTTATTTGAGCAGATCAGAAAGTTTTTCATTTAGTTCGATTGGGTCGGACTTGACTAGAATCAGAATATACTATAAACAAAAAGAATAAAGTGAAGAAAAAACATCATCTAATTTGGCTCCAATTTTAAAAGTAGGGTCCGTGGGGATCAAATTGAGTCAGGGGATAAGGGTCAGTTTGGTCCTCGAAGTTGCAAAAAAGGGGTCAAATAAGTCCTTATATAGAAAATTCTGTCCGGACGTGCCATTTGAGGTGGCTCCCGGTGGAATTTTTTGATGAATTTTTTTGAGCATCTTATTAATTAAGTCTAGTTTACTCATACCAAATTTCAGATAAAAATTCAATCGGGAAGACATTCAAATGAATTCTTGAAGATAACTGTGCCGTTAAAAGCGCAGTTATCTTCAAGAATTCATTTGAATGTCTCCCCGATTGAATTTTTAGCTGAAATTTGGTATGAGTAAACTAGAATTAATGAATAAGATGCTCAAAAAATTTCATCAAAAAATTCTATCGGGAGCCACCTCAAATGACACGTCCGGACAGAATCTTCTATATAAGGACTTATTTGACCCCTTTTTTGCAACTTTGAGGACCAAACTGACCCTTTACTCAATTGAGTCAAAAGAAAATTGACAACCATGAGTTTGTGTTAAGTATAGGCATGGACCGGTACCAGTCCGGGCTTCGGGCCGGTCCAAACCGGGCTTTTTGTTTGTGGGTTAAGGCCCGGAACCGGCCTGGGATTCTACCAGGACCGTACCGGGCTAGGACCAGGTCGGGCTGGGTTCAATTTTTTTTTTAGCTTTTCTAATTAATTCCTATCCCCCGCCCCCAAAGCCCGCCAAAACACCCAACCCAACCCGCCTACCACCAAAACACTTCGAAAAAAAAGAAAACAAATTGGCCCGGACCGGTCCCGAACCAACCGGGCCGGTTCCAAGAGGGGCTGAGCCCCTGACCCGCCCCAAACCCCCTCCGGTCCAGGTCCCGGGCCGGTACGGTACCGCACAGTGGTGGTCCGGGCCGGTCGGACCGGTCCCGGTCCAACACTAGTTAAGTATGAGGTCTGAATCAGGTATGACATTACTCAGCAGGCACTTCGTACAAGGATATCAAGAAAGAAAACTAGGAACTGGTATTTACTAGTACAATGCCATTGTTAGAAATGGGAAACAGCCACTGAAGTGTCTTGACAAAGTTACCGGTCGGATTATTCCCCGCGGTAATCTCAACTATACAGTTTGATTGTTTCTGCCTCTGAAAACTACCCTAAAAGGTAAGAAAAAGAATGGAGCAGATTGGGTGGATGTGGATTCTCATAAACAAATACTTGCCAGCCTTCAACTGCAACAACAGAACCAGTAAATGCTCTTAGCTTAACCAACATTAAGCATATCATACATTAACCATAAAATCTTTTCTACCACAACTTAAATAAAAGAAAAACAAACATGCTTTTGATGCGTACTTTAGGGGCAAATCGCCTGTGCCATTGGATTCCGTATTATATTTCGACGGCACTGGTTGTGTAGAGGTTCCAGGACACTGTCAAAGTATTATAATTATTTATTATTATTGAACTAACAATAAGACAAATCCTAGGATCCTATGGATCAAATTTTCACAGAAAGTGAAATGCTGGACAATGGTTTTATGCTTCCCCATGAAATTATTACGTAGTGTACATGTAGCATCGTTCAGATTCATGTCACTGATGTGATGCCCATGTTTGGATCTGAAAACCCATGGATCAGCAAATTCTTAGGTTTTGTCTATTCCTGAAATTGGGAGCATTACATGGTTCCAACACCATGGAATTTGAGTGTTTCCAGGGAATTGGGTCGTTCCTTCTATTCAAAACGTCATTTTATCTAATTCCTGCAATTCAGTTCTCAGTTTGTGTGAGCCTTAAAAATACTAGAAAAAACACTACTCTGTGTGATCACTTTGTAGCTCTTAAGATTTTATAGATGGTAGAAATCTTATGCAAATCTACAATACTTGCCAATTTAATTTGCAAAGATGTAGAGTTCTTTTTAACATTTCTTTAGGGTCCATTTGGAACCCGAAAATGCAAAGGAAAGTAAACAAGAATGAAAATAGATGGGGGAAATTAGGTACAAAATCAATAAATTAATTTTAGATATTTCATATTTTTCACTCATTTGATATATGTGATTCAATTACTCCCACCGTTCCATAACTTTCTACATGATAGTTTTGGGTTGTCCCAAAACTATCTCCCTAAATCCATTTAAGGAAAGAATGGTGGGTTAATATTGTTTCTTTCCTTTCAAAATAAAGCTCAACAACAAAATGTCAATTTAATATAACTGTGCCAGCTCAAGGCAGGAAAAAAATGTTTGGGGGGGGGGGATAAGATAGGCTAAGATATCTAAATGACGAGGAATGATCCTGTCAGCCGCGTCTGACAGGGAATGCCGTGCGGACTTGCCCGTTTGAGGGCCTTCTCGGTGGAATTTTTTATGGATTCTTTTTTAGCATGTTATTCATCAAGTCTAGTTTATTCATACCAAATTTCAGCTCCAAATTCGATCGGGAAGGCAGTTAAATAAATTCTTGAAACATACTGCGCATTTTGTACGCATATAAAGCGCAATATGCTTCAAGAATTTATTTAACTGCCTTCGCGATTGAATTTTGATCTATAATTTGGTATGCATAATCTAGACTTGATGATGAACATGCTCAAAACATTTCATCACAAAATTCCACTGGGAAGACCCTCAAACGGCCAAGTCCGCACAGCGGCTCTGGTCAGGCATGCCTGACCAGATCAGTTCTCTCTATAAAAAACACTATTTTCTTTAACAGTTTTTTTCCTTTTCCTGCCATTTTCTACACATTCCAAACATGCTTAGTATAAGAAAGGATGCAAAGGGATTAACCTCCTGGAAAGGAGAACCATCATTGGGGGGTTGGTTTCCAATTCCAGAATCTCCAACTTGGGAGACCGACATTATCAATTCCCCTCCAGGAGCATCTGCCTGCCCAACATCTCTCACATTCTGCTCCACAACAGCAAATCCTGTGCTGTAGGTGGTACAATTGAGATCATCACTCATCTTGTTCCCATCTATTTCCATAGCTTCCACTTTCCTATCATAGAAGATAACCAGAGTGAGGAAATTCCCGTAAACTAGTTACACGTCAACAAGCTTATCACGCTAGAAAAGAAAATATAAGGGGGAGGGGAATACAAGTTGAGAAATAGCTTATCCCCACCCATCAGAATCATCAGAAGAAGGTAACTTCATAGGATTTGGCTTGCTGGAAAACAACACTCCACGTAGATGCTTTCCATCTATGACAGTCTCGATAGTATAGCCATCTGAAAAGTTTTTTGTCACCTTGGCTTGAAAAGTTTTTTTCCCTAGAGGATTTTGTTGTGCATGCATATGAACATTCTGTCTGCCTGGCAATGGGACCATAAAAATAAAACCAACCTATGAAGTTAAACCAATTAAAGGTTTGTATGATAATATAATGTCTTCACAGATAAATAGACTAATTACTTTCCGTGATAGAAGCTTGTTGTTCCTGGCATTTTAACTTCAGCTGTTTTCTCAAAGACAACTTATCTCTTTTCCGATCATTTTGTTCACTTTCCCCAACAAGCCCTGAAATGATATGAGTTCAAAAGAGTTCACAATTTCTTTAGAGCACATATGAGTTACAACTTCTTGGAGTATGTTTGGATTCCGAAAATGCTAGTAAAAGTAGAATATGCCAAGGAAGGGTATTTTCTTAGGTTTGGTTTTACCTTAAAAATGAAAAGGGAAATGAAATATGATTAATGTTCTCTAAAGTTTATGTGTGTGTGTGTGTGTAAGTCTTTACATATTATAAATATAAATAAAATCAGTTTGAACACATATAAAAAAATAAAATATTTGACTTCAAGCCTAACTTTTATCCTTCCTCAAATCGTCTTTTCTTCCAATTCTTCCCTATTTTCTTAACAAAGTGCTTTCTGGGTTCCAAACAGATAGAAATTGATTCTCTGATTTTAAGATTAAATTCACTTTGTAGGCTAGGTGAAGTACTGTTGACTTGTGTGAAGACGGTGAAGGAGACAAGACAAACTCCCTCTTTTTAGTTTCCATGGAAAGTAGCACTTTCCGAGAAAACCAAACACTCTCTAAAGAATATGGTTTGCCATAAAACAAGGACTGCAGAGGAACCCATAGTAGAAGGAATGCCTGTATGTAAGTAATACATGTCATCCAATGCCTCGAGTTTCTTATTGCAGCCACCCAAAAATACAAGAAAACCTCCCAAATGTGGATCCAGACACTCTCCAGCCATCGAGAATCTTGCTGAAGGGCCGTCACCAGTAGCCAAAACCCTGTTCCATACACCAGCATCTATACGAGACCACAAATTCAGAAGAAATGACTATAAAACCGCCTTTGAGATATTTATACAGATATATAACAGTATCTATAATTATAGCAGATAAAACAAGCAGCATAAAATTCTCATATCCATTCACAATTATACTTACCTCTAACTATCTTTTTCTTACTCCATGTTGTTATATGTTAAAAGGAAAAACTACTGTGCACCAAATACTAAGAGCCTATTTGATTGCCTGATTCGGCTTATTCTGCATATCAGCATAATAAGCCAGCTGGATAATCAGAATAAGCACCTTTTGATTTACTTATTTGACTGAAAAGGATTTTACCAGCGGTATTCTTTCAACAAAATTCAATAGCTTCATCCATTTCAGCTAAATTGTCCTTGCCAAATGGGCTCTAGGTTATCTACTAACAATTGGGAATCTAGAGTTGCTGCAACTCTCTGTGGAGGCTCTTAGGTTTCTGATAACTTTCTTTGACAGAAAATGTGAATCAAGCAAACTAATAAGCTAGAAAGCAAGCTTAGGAATATATATATATATATATATAATACATATAGGGGTGAGATCACATACAAACTAGTCCTCCCATGCTAACCTACAAACTGTCACAAACTGTGCATCTTTACATTATTTGTATTGCATATTGAAGTTCAAAGTGTTGCATATTATTGAGTTTGTAGGTTAGTATTTTAAGCATGGTTTGTATTTGTATTTGATCTCTTATATATATATATATATAGATAAGAGATCAAATGCAAACTCATCTTAATATGCTAACCTACAAACCTAATCCTAACCATCTATTTTAATGAAAGAGCCGTGTACTTCATCTAGATTAGATCAAACAGTTACGGGCTTATTAGTCTTCTTAGTTTATTTTATTTTTGGAAAAAATCTTACGTTACCTTTTCCTACCCAAATGATAATCGATTCCTTCCCTCTCTCCTACCAAGTTCATAGTCCATCAATAAGCAATTACTCTAGATATCAAAGCTTCTCTCCATCCCCATCTCCATATCTCCATCTCCATCTCCATCTTTATCCCCATCTCAAATTTAATAGAATTTGATTTGTGTTCTTCTATTCAAACGCCATAGTTCTCGAACTACATGGATTCCGGCATCTCCATGGAATCTGGTGTGCAGGGCATGCCAGATTTTTTTAATTTTTTGTTTTTGATATTTGTTTTCATATCAATTCATCACTTATGTGTTTATGTATGAAAAGTTCTTGTGATTTTAGTATCCAAAAGTTTTTGTGGTTTTAGTATGCAGAGATGTTTCACATCAATCAACACAATTTCATGTTTATGCGAAGTTCTTAAAGCTTTAGTATGTAAAATATAGTAGTATTTTTATCTTTAGAACATTCTTCTCATATATTATGCATCATGTCATATAAACCTCATGATTCTCGTATGCATGTTAATTGAGTTTAGAATGCAGATGTCATAATGGTAAGATGCAGCATATGATCTCCTAAGATGCACATGTCATCTCACTAAAATGCAATATATGTGAACTTCTAAAATGCTCACGTGAATACGTGATACTGATAAAATGCAACATATGAACTTCGGAAATGATTATAGAATGATTGCACATGTCATAACGATAAGATGTAGCATATGGTCTCCTAAGATGTATGTGTCATTTTACTAAAATGCAATATATATGAATTCTGAAAAATGCAAATGTAATAATGATAAAATGCAAAATTTGAACTTCGAAAATGATTATAGAATGAATGCACAATCATAATGATAAAATGCAACATATGGACTTCCAAAGTGCAAGGTAATAATTTAATTAGCTCAATATGAAACATAGATAATATGACTAAAAGTGCAACATATGCATCACTAATATGCAGACATTATAATTATGAACTGATTAATTTTGTAAATAAAAGGAGTTTATTTCACACATATTATCATATGCAGACATGCTAATAATAAAATGCACATCTCGTAACCTTTATATGCAATTCCGTGTATCTTGACCATTCATATGCATGTTAGTTGAGTATACGATGCAAATGATGTAACGATAAGATGCATCATATGAATTTCTAAACGGCACATGTCATTTTACTACAATGCAATATATGAACTTCTAAAACGCAACATCGAGATATTTTTATCAATATGAACTTCTTAAGTAACTTATGCAGACATTATGAATATATGATGCACATCCCGTAATCTTAATATGCAGTGCAATATAATTCATATTCGAAAATAGAAGCTAGGTTTTGAAAATAAAAGGTTAGTATGGATTGATTGATTGTGTGACTTAAGAAATTCATTTTGTAAATTCAACCATTAATTATCAGTTACAGAAAGGTATATTATTTTTCTATTTATGGCTAGCATTAATCCATGGATTCTCTTTGTCTGCCACTTACCATGAATAAGTTGGCTTTATTTGGATGGTTATTTTAATTAGTGGGAAGTTAGTTGACATAAGTCTAGGATAAGAGGGGTTTAGATTACATTAGTAGCCTTGCAACTAAATTTAATACGGTAGTGATTTTAATTGGCAGCTTCTCAATCCAAGAGTACTATCGTGGGTTCCATAAGGATAGTCATCCATCTAATGCAAATGGACAATGCTGATTAGTTTGTAGTTTGCACCGGAAGATGGGTTTGCATGGGATCTTCCCCCAATATATATATATATATATATATATATATATATATATATATATATATACACACACACACACACACACACAAATGTTCAGGTCAGGAGTTCCTGACCGGAACCGCCGTCCGGACCGCGGCGTTTGGCCGCCTTTCCGGTGGCTTTTTTTGATGAAATTTTTATGACATGTTCTCCATCAAGTCTAGTTTATCCACAAAAAAATTCAGCCAAAAACTCAATCGGGAAGGTCGTCAAATAATTTTTGCAAGTTAACTGGTCCGGAATATGTATTTTCCGGACCAGTTAACTTGCAAAAATCATTTGACGACCTTCCCGATTGAGTTTTTGGCTGAATTTTTGTGTGGATAAACTAGACTTGATGGAGAACATGTCATAAAAATTTCATCAAAAAAAGCCACCGGGAAGGCGGCCAAACGCCGCGGTCCGGACGGCGGTTCCGGTCAGGAACTCCTGACCGGATCATTACTCTATATATATATATATATAATATATATATATGTATTGGGTATTCTCATATTGCAATAATTCGAACCAAAAATTGGAAAAGATGGACCTAATATTCATTCCCAGCAGAATATTTGTATCGAGAAGGTTTAATTAAGGTAACAGAACCTGAAAACTACTTACAGTTTGTTAACCGGTTTTCATAAAATGCATAAATGTTTAAAAAACGCTTATATGGCCCTTGGGTCATCAGAAATTTTGATTTTGTAAGATTTACAGTACACTTGATTTTGAAGATATAACTCCACAAGTGCACTTGTTAAGTTAACAGTACATAAAATAGGAATCAGGACTTACCAACATCAAGCATATAAACATCATCATAGAGGTTCTCCTCATCAGAGAAACCGCCAAAAACAAACAAGCACTTCCCCAAGGCAATAGTTGTATGCCCAGCTCGAGGTGATAATAGCTGCCCTGTAGTGTTTAATTTGCTCCAAACGAAAGAATCTATTGAAACCATCAGAATAACGAATAAGTTAATAGAGAATATTTGATGCACCACATTTAGATAAAACAATGTTGATAACATGTTGTTGTCCAATGTGGTCTAATTTAGATCAAACATTTAATGAATGAATTGTTGATTCATTATACATAACCATCAATGGCGAATCAGTGCCAACTTATATAATTATTGATATGCATGAATTTCTAAATATGACTTTAGTCAATTTTATTAATTTACTGATTTGCCAATTCTCATTGTTTAACAACCATTTTGTTTTCAATTGATTTCCAATAAAATGTGACACTCATTATTTACTCCCTCTGTCGCCAGAAAAATAGTCATGTATCAAGAACATTTCCAAAAAAGTGTGGTTTCAAATGTCTTTATTATGTAAGTTTTTTGTATGTCAATCTGCAATCCGTTTTATAACATTATGGGTATGGATATAAGTCACTATTTATAACTCATAAATACTTGTACCTTGATTGAGTTGACTCATAATAAAAAGTTAGACCTTATAAAAACAAGAGATTCTTGGTGTATCACACTCCACCAATTACTCTTAAGAAACAATTACACATTATACATATTTAAACATTAATAACACTTGTAAGGAAAAATCCATGGGAAAATTTCAATGTATTGCCGTCCATCCACTGTTAATTCACATATGTGCACTTCTCTATCATATGAACTATAGAGATTATCTTCTGCAAATGATATCAGGTGACCGGTACCTTCTCAGGAGTCAAAATATCAGTCCACTTTAGGCAACTCAACGGAATCACTAATCCCAGCCCATCTTTAAGAATGTGATGTTAAAGAGCCGAATCTGCAATCTCTAAAATCCCAAGGACCAAAACTACCGAATCAAGGTCCAGTGGTTTTCAATTTGGAATCTCAGGATTAGGTAGGTGTAGGTAATATGAGCCTGTCAATGGCAGGTGTAGGTAGTATGATGAGAAAAGAAAAGATGGTGGTGGACTGGTGAAAAGTGACATGCGGTGGAATCGGATGGAGATGAACATGGTGCTGCAACAGAAACAGTGAGGCCTCATGACTAGCTGAATTGATTTATGCAGGTCACTGGCTCACTTTGAGAAGATACTTACCATTATTGAGATTATACTGGAACTGCGCATATGTGAGATTCCATATGGAAAGAACGCCAATAGGTGGTATCTTATTATTTTAATGAATTTTTGTATTTATAAAAGGAGTTAATCAAAATTGCAATTTACTTTTTCATGATGACGCAGGCTGTGACTCATTGGTTGGTGTACCGTGTACATGACTCATACACTAATAGTGCTCAAAATATTTTCATGCCTTGTCTGAAACTGATGTAGAGATCAAACCATGCCTGTGTCAAGAATGTGTACATCAGACAAGTAGAAATTGAATGTGTCCTCCCCACCGAGGACAATGATTTTGTTCCTCCATGAAGAGCAGCTATGACTCTCACGCTTTGTTGGTGGTGTGCCAGATGGAACAATACGTTTCCACGTGAACGTTTCTGCTCATTAATGATCAGTGAATATAACAATACCACAAACACACTCACTATAACAAAAAAAATAGAAATGGAGAGCAACAACCTGTATTCAATATGTAAAGGTCATCGTAGTATATTTCCCTATTCTCAGATTTTCCACATCCACCAAAGATAAAGAGCCGTCTACCAATAAGGGCTGCACTATGGCCTTCCCTAGGTTCAGGCCCATCACCTCTTAAACTTGGCAAGATCCATGTGTTAGAGGCTGAAAAGGTATACTTGGGTAAGTCCACTATTTGTAGCAATAAATCTTTTCAAACTTTGGGAATTTTAAAAAACATTGGGATACAAAATCAGAGTATGTACTTTTATATTTTTTACATTCCACAGTCTAAACTCTTTTAATCTGTTTTCCAATTTTGGTGTCTTGGCTCTTAAAACGGATGCTAATAGTATCACTGTTGCTTATCACTGAAGATATAGCACTATAGTTACATATACTCTACCCTCAGTGTTAAAATGAGGTCTACCACATACTTACATTTATGAAGTACTTAATCAATAAAAAGTCGATTAAAAGAACAAAAAAGAACTACAAAGTGGATCATTTGGTTGAAATGCATTCCATGTAGAAAAGAAACTAGCAAGATTATATATGTTAATATGACGAGACTGCCTGACTTACTTTAACTACAGGACTAGGACTGAGAGACAAAAAATGGGGGATCTTCTTCTATTTCTTGACATAGGTACCACTGTTATATATCATAAGAAACCCTAAGAAACTGAATACATTTCCCCATTCGGCCATTTATGCAGTTGCTTTGCATTTGGTCACACAAAAAAAGATGGACTAAAATAGTTAGTAGATTCTACCTTCCATGACGAAGATATATAACAATATCAATTGCAAATTAACCAGATTAATGCAAGCGATGCAAGTAAATGCTGAAACTATAGTCTTATGTTTTTTTTAAATTACTGACCAGTGTCCAGAATACGCAAATCACCAAGGGGCTTTCTACCATCTGTACCGCCAAATACATATAGATTGTCGCCAACTGTGGTACAACTATGACTGTCTCTTGGCATAGGCACTGCTCCTTTCATCACAGGCTCACTCCATATCCTATTAACTGCAATAGAAATTGTGCAAGGAAATCTCCCAATAATGATTTAAACTTTGGGTTTTTTCAAAAATATTACTCCGTACTAAAATAAAACTTATTTACAAAAATATGACTAATAGTTACTACAATATAGTGTCAATGTGCCATGGTAACTTAAGTTTAAAAATTGAATATAAGTTACTATGATTACATTACTACTCTAGTCACTAGTCATATTTTTGTAAACCATCTTTATTTAAGTCATAAATATGTAGTTATTTCTTTAAATTTTAAGATTAAACAAGGACATATAATAGTACTTGATCTGTCCCAAACAAGAAGAAAAAGTCATGCATGGAGAACTCCTTTTGTGCCAAAAAACAAGTTTGGTGAAGTAAACATTCATTTTTAAGTAGAATTCTTGTAAATTCTAAAGGGATGGGTAATACAAAAAACATTGGCCATAAATTATAGTTTAAATAAAGGTGAAGTCACTAGAACAATGACATCCTATGTCCAGTTTTGAAAAGATGACTGCTTTTGTCAACTTCTATCCATAGTTAGTCTTCCAACAAGTCATGTTTTGTAATTAACTCACCTGAAATGAGTTATTTATAAAAAAGCTAGATAAGACATGGAATAAGAAATTCTATAATATACATTTTGAAATAATTGGGAAACCAAGAATATGAAAAAATTCTATTTTATTAATACTACGATAAGTTAAATTACTTATCTACTTAAATACTAGATCTCTCTAAATGAATGTGTTTTGTTGAGGTAGAAAGCTAATTGCATACTGTTTTGTCAATGATCGTAATTTCTCTCATTTTTTATTTTTTACGACCTTCATCAACTCTTATGGGAGTTTCCCACTTCAGTCATGTTATGGATCAGGCATAATTCCCCTCTTCACACATTATTCCTCTTCTGGAAATTTCATTTAGGTTGCCATGAGTTGCTAAGTGGAATTCACTAAATACTTAAGATCTTACTTCAGTTACACCTCCATTGCGCCACTCTTTTCTTCTCCCCTTTTTATACTCCCTCCATCTTCTATTCTCTTCAACTCTATCAATTTTCTAAGAACACGGTCGATTGGTCGGTGACACCTTTTCTTTTTTCATTCCTTAGGCTTATGAGCTAGATTCACCAGCTTTATTACCAAAAATTTTATACCTACACATCTGAATGTCATGTAGGCTTAAAATGTAGCTTCAATAAAAAAATAGTACCCACAAAATTGTTTTTTGTTAGCTGAAAGGAACAGACATGAAATGTTAACCCTCATATTAACATTTTTAAAATTTGGCTCGTTTGATTAATCATTTCAGACACTATATCCGCAAATGCAGATCATTTAGATAATTAACCACCTTCTAATACAACAACAACAACATCCAAGCTTTGGTCCCAAAAGAGTTTGGGGTCGGTTAACATGAACGGGCATATGAAATCGAAGCTAGAAAGGATAAAAAGATAACATGAGATAAAAAGATAAGATAAAGATGAAAATAAGATAACGGATAAAAAGATAAAGAAGAAAAAAGATAAAAAGGATAAAATGTGATCAATCCTCCACACGTATATTCTCCCCCCCCCCCCCCAAGTAGTATCATATTGGAAGTTTGATATTTTTAAAATGTATTTGTAGTGTGTCATATTAATATACTACATTTAGTCTTGAAAATGTGTCAAGACCGTATTTTGTTCTGTTTCAAGCATTCTATATCTTGTTGAAACGATCTTATCGAGCTCCAAAGCTCATATTCAGACTTCATTTACAAAATATTAAAGAATATGAAGTGTATGTTCTTCTGTTTCACGCGTTTTATATCTCATTAGAAAGATCCCATCGAGTTCTAAAACTCGTATTCAAACTTCATTTACAAAACATTCAAGGATAGGTCACTTGAAATGGAAAAACATACAACAAGATATGGGGGTTGGAAAATGTCGTTTCAGCAAAAAATGGCGGTTTGACCCTGGGCGAGACTCACACATGATAGACCTCATGATAGAGTTTTTAAGCGAGCGTCTGGGCGCTTAAGCATCGTTAGGTTTGACCCTGGCGCTTGCTTTGCATTAGGTCACAGAAATCTTTTAAAAACTCGTTAGAAAGATCTTATCGAGTTCTAAAACTCGTACTCAGACTTCATTTACAAAAATCAAAGGATAGCGCAAAATATGCTCAAATCAAATATTACACCTATTCAGAGTCAACTCGGAAATATCTTAGAGTATTTTGTTCCTGTTTCAAACGTTTTATATCTTGTTGGAGTAATCTTATCGAGTTCTTAAACTTGTACTTAGACTTCATTTACAAAATATTAAAGGATAGGTATTTAGTTCCATTTCAAGCGTTTTATATCTTGTTGGAAAGAACTTATCGAGTTCTAAAACTTGTATTTGAACTTTATTTACAAAATATTACGAGATGGGTACCTTAGCCTTTTTGCGAAGTAGAGGTTTTTTTATACAAAACAGAGTTTTTTTTTTAATAAATAGAACATAATTGGAGTAAATAGAGCCTTTGTTTCTAATTTCGGTGACCCCTCTAGTCCATATCTATTTGGGTATTCATCCCCGCCTCCTCTTCCCACCTCTCACTTTTAACACAACAATAACAACAACCAAGCCTATCTCAAAAGAGTTTGAGGTCTAACATGAATTGACATATGGAATCGGAACTAAACAAGATAGAAAGATAAAAAAGATAAGATAAATGATACCAAAAAACACAAAAAAGAAGAAATTTAAATTATGGATCACATTAGAGAAGAACTACATGTGGACGATAGCACGATGCCAACCATAGAACCGCATAATAATCCTTAAGAACATAGCTAATAGCTTAACTCATAAAGAATCGTATACAATAGCACAGCTCAACTATCAAGAGCCCATTAAGAATGAAATCAAGAAAATCCTGAAAACAAACGGACATACTCAAAAAACGCAAACCCCAAAAAAACAAATTTAGCAGTGGCAAAAAACACTCAAAACGAAATATCCTTAGGCGTGAAGAGGACGATTAAGGCCATGAGTTAGTGAAACGCATACCAGTATCGAAGACGTGAACTCGGTTGGTCTGGCAGTCAAAACTTCCATAGCCACCGAACACATAAAGAAGCTTGCCTCCTGCGATGGCATTGCAAGTGTGGCCCCACCTCTTACCAGGCCCCAAGTTATTTCCTTGTGCACTCACCTTCTCCCACCTCATGTTATTGAAATCTAATCCAAGAAATTGTTCTCGGGTATAGTAAACGGCGACAATCCGTGAGGCTGAGGAAGTGAAAATATATTTGGTGTTTGATTCGTTAATCTTCCATTCGTTACAGGGTTTTAACGGTAAGCGTTTTCATTTCCGGGATTTTTCATGCAGTGAAGCGCTCGCCATTAAACGGTGAGTGCCACAGAGTCGGGAGAGATTACAAAACTCAAATTTACATGATCTGTTACCAGGCCCAATTAGATCACACATTATGCTTCTACTTTTTTTTAAAGCAGAAGTAGAATCAGAATCAGTTTTTCTGGTCATCCTCAACGGCAAATTATACCGTACACCCGGTTGTACGGTGAGAACCGTACAACCGGGTATTTTTGTAATTAATTAGAATTTCGATGGTAAAGGTCGGAGCTCTGTTCTTCTCTGTTCTGCGTTGTTCGCTGAGGTGTGGTGAATAGCCGCCGACCTGGGCGTTCCTATCTCCCAAAAATCGATGGTCTTCTTCTTACTTTTCCGTTCCTTTCTTTTCTTTTCATGCGGCAGCCAATCCAAATCTCAACGAGAAGCTTCTTCACCAACATTTTTTTTCTTGATCTACGCTTTCCTTTCACCGTCCCCACAATCCCACTAACCGTCAATTCTGTTGCTTTTCATCAATATATCTATGATACTTTAATATTATATTTTATATTTTGTTTTAAAACTTTCAGCTTATGAATTTCTAATATAAGTTTTACGCTATGTTCAAAATGAGTATATTGTTATAATGAATATGAGTGTTCATATTCATATTCATATTGAGTGTTCATAATGAATATATGAGCACATTAGAAAAATCATATGAGCATACACAATAGAAAATTTGAGCATATTAAAAAATTCAAATGAAGTACACAATACAAATTTGATCGTACTGTAGATTTTAAATAAACTTTTTGTATTTTTTTCGTTGCTCATTTCGTAAGTTATGTATGCTTATTTGGTACTATGAGCAGAGATCACGATACTTAATTGAATTGTTTTAATACTCAATAGAGAAGTTCCAGTGTTCAAAGAAAATATCTTCATGTTCAACTAACAAAACTTACGATTTTCATATACATGCTCATTTTATAACTTATATATGCTCATTTGGTAATGATGTTATGCTCATTTAAAAATGTCAGATCAATTCATATTTCAAAAGTATCATACTACATTAGATTCACATTTTATGCTCATTTAATATTAAAATGTCATATACATGCATATTTCAAAAGTATAATATTAGATTAGATTCACATATTGGACTCATTTTGTAAGTTACGCGTGCTCATTTGATATCGATTTTTGTACTCATTTTAAAATGTTATATGATGCACATTTCAGAAGTATCATACTATATTAGATTCACGTAAAACTTGATTTAGATACGGGAGCACATACAATGATACTCAGTTGCATGTTTATAATACTCAATAGTGAAAGTTTGATGATCAATGAAAATGTTTTGATGTTCAACTAAAAATACTCGTGATTTTCATATCAATGCTCATTTTGTAGGTTACATTTGTTCAATTGATACTCATTTTATGCTCATTTTCAAAATATCATATTAGTGCATATTTCAAAAGTATCATGCTACATTAAATTTGCATATTGAAGTTCATAGTAGTTGATTACACATATAATTTTATAAGTTTTTATAAAAGAAAATTTAAGAAAAAGAAAGTGAATTACAATATATGAAGTTGATATCACAATACTCATTATTTGACTCTTAATGCTCAGTAGAATACTTCCGATGTTCATTAAAAGTGTATTAATGCTCATATAACGAAAACCGCGATTTTCACTGAAATTATGAAAATACCATCGTTTTATAGTTGTGATATCAGCTTTCTTGTAATAACACGATGCTCATTATTAGAGCCTCAATACTCATTAAAATTGGAATATTGCTCATTAAAAGTACACAAATACTCATTTAGCTGAAGCCACGATTTTTTGCTTAAATTACAAAAACGCCACCGAAAATAAAATGACATATATAAGCTAATGGGCTGTCTTCTTCAATTGGGCTGGATGTACCTACATCCGGTTGTAGGATATAGGCACTCATCCTCAACTTCTAAAAACTGATTCTAGGAACAAATTTGAGTACCAGAATCACTTTTGCACTCTCATCCAAACACTTCAGCTTCTGCTCCCTGAAAGAGCAGAAACAGTTTAAAGAATCAGATCCAAACACCCCTCAAATCAGTTTAGACTAGATTAGATTCAAAAGGTTTGGACCGGGTCAGGGATAACTAAAACAAAAGAAAGCAATGTTAAACCACAGCGAAATGGGAAAATTTTCGAAATAAAAACATAAACGTTTCAGAACTCCAAAATTAGATTGTCATATTTATATTCTGTGTATAAATAGAAGTAATTACTGTCAAACTTGGAAATTACATGACAGTAATTACTGATATTTAGATAATAGAAACATAACAGTATTTTAGAATACACAAATGTTTTACTTCATACGGAGTATATACCAAACAAGGATAGGTTTAAATAATACGCTTAATATATCTTATGAGCTTAGTAAACAACTTAATCGGGGAGTTTGATCTTTTACTTTATCAATTTATCAATATTGAAACCTAGACGGGTTGTCAATTTTAGAGTGCTCTAAATTCACTTCATCTTAGAGTGCATACTACTTTTCATATATACCTTTTAATTTCATTAATAAGGTTGTCGTCTTTATCCTTCCTCTTTGATGGTAGAGCTCGTAGCGATTCAAAGTTTCTTCCTTCTTGAAAATTGAACTTCTCATAGAATTTCTTTGCATATTTTCACTTTTAGGAATTGCGTATTTTCATAATTTCATTGAAACAAGATATTCCTTATTTCATTTGTTTAATTTGAAAATCAGAGAAGAAAATAAACACGTCCATCATATTCATGATGGTTTTTGACTATTTGTTAAGCTTGTAAAAATAGTTTGAAAAAGGTGACATTTTCAAAATCAATAAGATGCTCCATGTAAGCCTCCTCTTTTATGATTTCATTTAGGATTACACTTTCTTTGGTCATTTTAAAAGTTTAAAATCCGTGTAATAAGCCTACGCTATAAGATCCTAATCGTTTTCTCGTTATTTATTCATTCAACTTGATTATATCACTTAGAACTAAGTCGTTTTTTGTGAGTATCTCACCAATTTTATCCAGCTCATTGCTAAAACATGTTTGGTCATAATAGCTGGATGGTTATTTAGCATTTCAACAAAGTTCCCATGCAATAATGTGCTCAAATTGATCTAACTCCTTTTGCATTGGCATAAATCATTCGTCATTACGAAAGGCTTTTTCTATGTTTTTGGGGACTAACTAACATATGCATAACATTACATGGATTAATGTTACATATAGCTTTTAAACCCTTGTTGATATCATCACATCACTGATGATACTTTGAGTATGCAGACTTCTTAAGTGCTTGTAGGCCCTGGTTTCCAAGAGATGGCTATGAGTCAACAAGTTACGTTTTTCAAATAGAGGGATACCTTCTTTTTTGCATGTCTTGTCACCTAGTCATGTGCCTTGAACATCCATTCTCTGCAATCCAAGTGGTGGTGTTGATACTCAAGTTAGTTTAGATATTCGTGATCATACATCTAGGGCTCTGCCATGTAGAGACTCTAGTTCCTTTGCCAAGCAGTTGCTTCACTTTGCAATCAGTCACTACATTACCGTACATAATTTTAGTGGTGCTTTTGAAGGTTTCTTATTGGAAGAGTTTCTTTTTGCAAGGTTATTTGCTTTACTAGTAAAATATTTATTGGTGACATCAATGAATTTTAGGGTCATCTTCAAAATAAATGCCCTTTTCCCATAGTATGAGGAATATGAGAATCTCATGCATCCATCATTTGAATAGGCACGGTATGAAAATAATTGTTCATAGAATGGTTCAGCTTGTCACTGAATTTGTATGACTATCATATTTGATAATTTCATTTTTTTTTCAAGAGTTCCATAACTAGCTCTAAATTTTGAGTTCTATGTCAAAATATTCTTTTGATTTCTTTCAACAGTTTGATCAAGTCTTAACACCTTTCAAAAGTCTCATTAATCTCATCAAAGTAAAACTACAAGTACAAGAATAAACAGAATTTTACCTCATATTGATTGAGAGTAGAACTGAAAATAAACATAAAGGTAAAACTGAAAACACTGATCAAACGAAGTCTTTTTCATGATTGGAATCAAAAGAAGATTGAAAGAGGAGAAGAAAAGAAGAAAATAAGAGGAGGTGGGTAGGGTTTCCCATTTGCCGCTCCTCTCTCTACGTTACTAAAAACCGTCGCTAATTGTCTTAGATAATTATTTCTTAAAGTTCTAATCTAAGAGGGGATTTGGTATGAGGTAAAATAATTACTTTGTATGTAAAGTGCATAGATGTAAAAGGTTTACACTGTTTGGCCGGGGTTTTAGTGTATACCGTAGGACACTTTGCATCCTTTTTATAAAGCACTGCAACGTCTTTGCGTGAAAATTAAAAATAAATTACACATATAACGAAACAATGTAATACATTTTACATGCAAAGTGGTTATTTGCCTAAACTTGGCATGCAATCATTTCACGTGCAAAATTTAACAAATAAACTACCAAATGAACTCTAAATAAAACTGAATATGATTATCAAAACCTAGCTATTATGATGTTTTTAATTGATTGATTTCAATCCAGACTAAATTAGATCAGCCCACACCGAATTTACACAATAGTAAAACAATACATATAAAACAGACATTCGTTAGCTCAGACCACACCACATCATACAAGAAATTTTCGTTTCATTTAAAAACATCTTGCTCAAAATACGGAGTATAATAGGAGCGTAATATTAAAATCTATATATTTAATTATTAAAATATAGAGAAAATTGGGTGTATGTACATAATTAAATATGTGTGTTTAAGTTAATATTATGGATTAATAAAAATTAAGTAGATAGCCTTTGTAAAAATCCATCAGTGCACTTAAAATGAGTTAACTACTCCTCTTAGTCCGCAATATCCTCCCAAATCATAGTAGAAGTACATAAGGTAGTTAAAATAGAGGCTATGTATTTTAATAAATAAAATAGAGACTATTAACTTTAAGTGCCCTATTTATTTAGGCTATATAGCATTTTTATTATTTAACTCTTCATAAATCTCCAGAATGTGCCCATAAATTAAAGTTGAAATAATGACAAATATATAT